GTGTCGGCCACGAGATCCGTCAGAAGACGGTGAGCTTGCGATGACTCTTTCTGTTCTGATGCTCCGTCTGTATGTGCGTGTCGCTGTGCCTCAGCTCGTCTATCTGTCTGCGTAGCTGGTCAATCTGCTTGCGCTTCTGTGCTGCTACTGCCTTATCCCTACAGGAGGGAATAATATACACCACATAGTAACCATAAACACGATTTATGACATAGAAACGTACATTTATTGATGTAATAAATATGAATTATATACTGTATAGATATATACTGTATAGATATATACTGTATAGATATATACTGTAACTGTAGTGTCATAATATAGACGATATATTATCTATATATAGTGTATATTATGACACTCCTGATATATACACATACAGAAAGACATACAGAAAGACAAGCGGATGAACGCACAGACACACGCACACACCCACGCACGCGCGCGTACACACACACGCACGCACGCACGCACACACACACGCACGCACGCACACATACACATATATCATTACATTTATAAACATACAATTAAATAAGACAATAAATAAACTGTCTTGCTTTGCTATTGTTATGTTAGTAATGTTATTGCTAGTTGTTAGTTACCTGTTTGTCTCGTTTCTTTGCAATGATTGCTGCAATGACACTAATCGTTTCTCTGCTTGGCGGATTTCCTCCTGGATTTTAAATGACTGAAAAATATGCAGCGAATTAACAGCGAATTAACTTGCAGTGAACGCTGGCACAAACGTGATTATATATATTACGTGAAACATTACATATACGTGATTAAACTATTTGTGCAACACATTTTTTATTCATCAATACAAAATCAATAACACAACTGAGAACAAACAAATCGATAGCCAATATGTGCCAAAAATTGTGCAGGATATTTGTAATAAATTACCAAATATTCGCGTTCTCATTTTACCTGTACATGCAAATCCTTAGTTGAGGCACTCCTCACCAGTTTCTTTGCCTCATGCTTTGATACAGGATTAACTGTAGCACTGTCGAACAAATCTTTTAATTTACCTGTATTAAGAATACAAATTTAATTGGTCAAATAATTATTAATGATATTCTAACACTCACTCGTGGGACGTTATCACTAAGCTTTCCATGTTGACCTTCCTAGTAGTGAGCTTCTAGTAAATCTCAACGTCATCATCACTTAATTAGTACCCGCATAAATTATTGTCATTTGCATTACCCTACATCTACATAAAATTAAATTTTTGTTAACACAAGCAACATCATATTACCAACCTTCGAAGACATCATAAAAAGGGGAAAAGACAATTAAAAGTAATGCAAAAAACGACTAAACTTTGATGTACCCATTCTATAAATTTAAAAAAACCTCAAATAATGAATCCAGGTGGGTCATCTACTCCTTCATATGTAATAGCACGTCTGTCATGCTATGCCTGGTTATTTATTGTGCACAGCAACGTTATGTAGTACAGGAAGGTAGAGCTGTAAAGAAGTCCAAGGAGGTGTAAGGATGTGTAAGGAGTTTGTGACGAAAGCGACACCGGTACCTTTGTGACCGACCAATGTTGAATTAATAAAGTCAAACACGTCGACTTTTTCCGCTGAGCGATCGTAGCCTTTAGCTGCTCCCTCCACAGCTTGCCTCTTTTTCCTCCTCTTTCGAATCACCTCCTCCACCGTATCCAGTTTCCCCTTTCTCTCTCTCAACTCCATACATCTGTCTAGTGACTTTCCTGGGTGGCATATATTAAAAATGTGTTTATCGCACAAAGCCAGGCAGTCTTCTCATTAAAACATGTACATTACACGTTAATGTACAAAACATGTTAATTACATGTAAAAGCACGATTTTTGAAAATCTATAAATTGATCAGTGTAGCCACTGATGCACTCATTATATCAGATGCTGCTCAGATTATATATAAATTTCTCAGTATGTCTCAGACTGAATATCCCATGCTATAGTGTGGTGTACCATAGTTACTACAATTTGCTATTCATGACATCATAATCTATCTATTCTGCCCTCTACATATACCTTGTGGGAAAACAACCGCTTCCACTGGCTCTCTCCGTCCCTCTCCATTTTTGCCAAGGCCTTGTCTGCAAACATGAATATACGTAAAAAATAAAATCACAATGATACGTAACCGATGCAACAGAATTTATATAGCTTGTACAACATTGACAAAACTTCCATTATAATAATTAATACGACGTTATTCATGTAAGTGTGTACAAAGTGGAGAGAGTTCTGTAATAAACGGTGTAATACCGGCTCATAGTTCTTTATGTGACCATGCACTGAAATAACAAGATAATTCAGCGAGGGGGTGCGAGCTACGTGCATCAGCACTAATTGAAAAACATTACTCACCCAACGACAAAACCCATGCTTGCTAGGAGTTTCGAGCCAATTCCCTGAAAACGTAATTATTCGTAACGCGTTAACTCTGTGCCTTTCCTCACAGAGAGGCACCTATAATGTCTACCTTGTCCAGTAGCAGCCTTACATGTGAAATGACAGCTATATTCCATGCCCCTTCCACTCCACCACAGCTATAAATGGCAGTAGAATAACTCTGTGTCTGGTAATGATGGTTGAACCTCCATTTACAATTACTTTTCCGTCACAACTAGTCGTTTCAACGCTAGATCGTATCCGTCTGCCGTAATCCGTGCGTCGTTCGCTCCCATATTCGGCACGCACCTTTGTATACGCCTCCCACTCCCCTAGTGCTTGCGTAAGACCGTTAGGTTGCCACAGTGTCGTTGGTACAACCTCGTCATCCTCGGCTTCCTGCTGACGCGCTGTCACCATCGATGACACTTCATCCTCAGACGACGACGTAGAACTGTCACTGTCTTCGTCCTGTGCGCCTGACACGCAGCAATAAGACAAGCTACACGTTCACGATTCTTTCGCATACGTAGTCGTTTGACAATGGAGTGACTCGGATCATCCATGGCTAAGCCAGTGCTTCTCACACTGGTGATAAACTTCTTTTAAAAAATGGTTCACCCAAGGGTGAATGAAACTATTTTGGAGTGAATGGAAAGCAAGGCGAAAATTACCAAGAAATTGTGGGGTGAACGAAATTTTGTGATAAAAACTCGAGGGTGAATGACACTGAAATAGTTTGAGAAGCACTGGGCTAAGCTACTGCTCTCACGAATAACAAGGGAGGCTATGTGTACCCAGGGGAAAGGTGTGCTCCATGGGCACGGTTGCGACCTCGTTATACGACGTGTATTCTAATTCCACGGCGGGTTCACCATCCTTCTCCACGATGTGATCAACGATGGCTGTGTACCACAGTCCATCCGTGTAGCGGCTCAAGCACTTGCTACCTTCCGTGAGCAGGCTAAACAAAGCAAAGTGTAACGTGTAAGACTCACGTTCGAAAATTCACTTGTCTGCATTTGCCGCTGCTCGTAATTTCACCGCCGCGCGTATGAAAAACATCATAATAAGAATTTGTGTGCTTACCATTAAAAGAAAATCTTTATAAAAACCTCTGAAGGTTAATTCAGAAGCCAACCCATTGGTATTAATATTCGAAGTGGGACATCAAGTGATTAAAAGTATGCGAGTTGTCTCAACTCAAAAGTATATACCATATAGTAATCATGTGCGATAAACATTAATTCCAACCTTCTATCTTCTACTCACTTCTTAGCGAACTGATTGACTTAACCTGTGAATCGATTACAGGCACGCTGCAAACAATAATAACAACAATAAAAACAACAATATATAACCTGAAGTCCAGCTCTTGATACTCTCTCAAGCTACGAAGTTCTACGGTGTGTCCGTGTGAGTATCTGCATACAATAACATAATGAGAAGGCTTATAACACACACTAGTAAGTACTGGAAAAATAAAAAATGAGACAAAAAAAAATAAAGAAAATGTGATAAGAATGTCACCACATAGAACACCTTGCTCATTACCTTGTCAAAGTTTTCTAATTTCAAATACTTCGATACTAGTCAATTAAATTTTTATGCTGAAATTTCATTGTGAAATGTTGGAGCTTTACTGTGAATCAGTACAACTATATTTTCACAGCGTGTTACCATCAAGCATACCTGCACTCTTCATCAGAAAATCGACACTTGTCATCCAAGTAATACGGACAGGCCAACATGGATTTCTCTGTGGGGATGCTGAACATCACCCTTACCTGAAACACAAATTAATCAAACTTGACAGAAAGTGGATAAGGAAAATTAAAGGGGTTGGGCGTTTACCATCGATTGATTGTACATGAATAGCTGGCTACCTTCAACCTGCCCTCTCACCAGAACAGGTGTTATAGCTTTAAGGTTTCATAACTTTAAGGCTTTATAGCTTTAATGTTTACTATTATAGTACTATATTGAGTATAGCCTAGGTACAGTACTGGTGTGTGGTTTTTCCAAAGCGGTTTGTAAAGACTATACTTTTCAGTCGAGAGAATCTAGAAAATACGTTTTTTACAATTCATATTGAAAACTCTGAGCTCATAACCAGCTCAGGTTATGGTCATAATTAGGTGCTGGAAATTTCATGAAATTTATTGGCTTGAGCATAGAGATATATCTCCTCTATAAATAAAACGTGTGATTGATTTGATTCATTCGTCAATAAACGTTTAATCTTCATTAGAGCAATACCTGTGCAAAAGGTGGAGAGTATCCTTGAAACTTTAATAACGCAAATAGCTATCATGATAGGACTACGTACGGCTACGCCAGAACAACACGCGTGAATCAAATGTAAAGTATACGTACTTTAACGACTACGTCTCCTTCTTCATTCAGATCCACATCCTCCACGTCCACTACCATCGCATTCACGTAACGATGGCCCATGTAGTCTCTCATAAACGGTGCTTGGCATTTCATGCCAACCAGCGTACCAAGTTGATTTTTAATGGAAGAAACATCGGAACCGGTGAGTGATGAATCGAGATTTCTCGTTGGCCGGCTAGCCTCCTGTGACGATGGTGAAATTGAGGCAGGGTGAGATGTGCGCTCGGTGCTATCACTACTTGATTGTGGATTCCTAGATACAGGCTCTGTCTCCTCATCAGCAATAGCAGCCTGTGTAAACGACATAATCGAATACCAAACGTTAAATTCATGAGAGAGTTGATTGCAGAACTGACAATATATTGGGTACAAATGCAACAATGGACCCAAAAGTGCATCTATCCTTTGCCTTACAACTTTTTCACTGGAATGAAGCTCATCAGGAAAAAGTTTTAACATATTATTATGTAATGAAGGCAATGTTTACTTTTATAAATGAGTACAGCATGTAACCGTGGTGGAAATGTTGCGATTTGACAGTAATGCTCGTACCTGGAATGCAGCGAATTCTGCATCCATGTCTAGTACAGGTGGCAGTGAACAAGACTGCGGTACAGATCTCGTCTGACATGCACTCCCATCACGTACACCGGCTCCATGTGTAGCGGCAGTAATGTCTGGCTCATCCAGCGATTTCAGCAAGGTGCTCTTTTTCACGGTGACAAGGCTACCTGATATACATATATAAGCTGTATATAGGATGTGTGGCACATATGTGCACATCTCAATGCAATTTGCTGCTGTTGCACGGACGATATATTAATAAAGTTTAAAAGCTTTGTACCTTACATTCGTGTTATAAGTTATTCCAGTCAAAATGTGATATATCATACACCTAATGATATTAATTATGTGAGAAATAAAAAATAAATAAACATTAGCATACACCACTGTTTATGCACACAGCTACAATGTTTAACTATGCGTTTTCGATCATAATGCAAAAGGACATTTCTGAAGAAATCGTGCATTTCTATGTACATGCGATAATGAACAACACATGCAACCATTAACATCGTACTTTCAGTAAGATCCACTAGTTCTTGTAGGTCTGCCTGAAGCGTCAACAAATCGCTCTGATCCGCCGCCGATCCAGCTTCTATAGCATCCTGCACCTGCTTCAGCTATCAATATAATGTGCACATTAA